TAGCTGGCGGTGTATCACTTACTTTTTCTTAACCTCATTTTTTTGTTTCATTTGGAGTCCAACTCAGTTAAATTTTTGATAATAAATGAGCTTTAAGTAACACTGCTGCTCATCACGCAGTGGAAAATAGCGTTGCTGTCATGCAACTCTACCAGCGGATGAGCTCCACTGTGTAACAACTTTCTACACAGCACTACAACACGGCGATTTCATTCCACATGCTTTTAGCTGTACAGTCTTGTTTCCTTAATCATCCCCTTTCGCCCCTTTTTTTTCCTCATTTCAGTTCTTCATCTTAACAATTTTGCAGCCCGGACCCGAATCTATAAGATTTCAGTGCATGCTAGGAGGCCGAGCCTGGCTGTGTCAAACCACGCTGTATTTTAGTAATTGCTTATCCGGACCATTTTCACGTTGTACTAAGACGAACTGAGTATACTGCTGTTATGCCTGGTGGGCACTCTTTATTTACAGCAATTCTTTTTACCATTCATTCATTTGTTTCGGTGGTAAATTGGCAATGGCATGTAACAAGGTATCAAATTTGTCATCACATTGTTTGTAAGCAACTCGCAAGAAAGGGGATCGCTGAAAGCCTTGCCAACGGTTGACTGCTTCTGCCAATTATACCATTTGGACTATTTCTCGAGTGCTTCTGCTTTTCACAAAAAGCAAATACCGAGGAGGTTTTGAAAAGTCCTGCGTGCCACTGACCATTGATTTTACCGGAAAACAGATGTCGCATCATTTGCAGGGCTTTAATTAAAGTCTTCGTAGAAATTAAGGGATGAAACCGGTGGCTTCAAGTTATTGCTTCTTTGCACAGGTAGAAATAGGTGACCGCTATCAAAATAATATTTTCTGTTAGCTAATTCACAACTTAAACATATTTTATTACAAATACAGAGGACATAACACATCTATGTAATAGTACACAAATCCAGAAGGGAATGCCCCACCTTTATCTTTCCGGATACCTTTTGGCACACTTTTGATGGTTCTATGAATTTTGTAGTTTATCAATCCCCTTTTGTGGCTTACTTTTTTCGCCAATTTGCGGTCATTTGCCTGAACTGAGTTCCTTTCTCATACAAGCCTTTAGAACAGCTTAACGATCTTTGCACCCGATCACCAGAAAGGAAAACATTCAGATCTTGCGTTTAGCTATAAATTTGCAGTGGATAAGCAAGAAAATAGATTAATTAAAAAGTATCACTTCCATCAACACTTTAGTCGGATCGACACCATATTTTAGATTGACTGAAGTCACGAAGCCTTATGCTTGGTGACTAGACTGAACTGCTTTCTGACAGTTTTCATTATCACGGCGCCGTGATCCATATCCGATTCCTGAAGCACCAGTTCCAGTCATTAAAAATCACGATGCTACTGTGAAGGATTTACAGGTTTTCAAGATTTCTTTCTGATGGTAAATCGATACTGGCTCATAGCATAATCACTACCAACAAATTTCTAAAACAATTTCCTAGAGGATAAAAATTTCAACAGCGAATGATTGCTACTGAATGTGGGTTACTTCTTAGGTAGCCACTAGATGCCTCTAATTATCAGGATAAAATATGCGAGCGCTTTTGACTATAACATATCAGAACCTGAGATTTTGCTCCGCCAACTTCAAAAAACAGCAGAATGCACTTCACACAAATTGCGTTAGTTCTATAATAAAACCCTGTGCACCTATATTCTCTGGAGCCCAACTTTTGTTCAGTTCGTATCCCGAACCTCGAGACATCCCAGTACGTTCTGGCCAGCGACAACCCCAAAGCATTTTCTCTACGAAGGGAAAGTAAGAATTTGGGGCAAAGATGCAAACACGCGACGCAGGTGCGGTAGTGCGTGGAAATATTACTGCCTATGTATCCCTTAAGTAAGTACCCATGGCAGGTACTACTACCTAAAGCTGTAGTTCAAGATTTATCTGTCATAGCTGTACACGGCGTATAGGAACATCCTAGTAACATCACTAACTAATCATCCGGGAGGCTTTGATTTTTTTTTTGTGTGTGTGTGCGTGCATGTATGTGTGTGTGTGTGCTTGTGTATGTGTGTGTGCATATATGTGTGTACACTTGTGTGTTTAAACTGGCGTTCTACCACGATAAGGTAGACTTGTATTGACTTGTGAGTGCCAGATGATAACCAAATAGTTGATTTGCTATTGTACGAGTATGAATACTTAGAGTTCCGAGCGCTTACTTCAAAACTATCGTCGGCACCCCGAATTGCACTGCCTACTTTGTTGCACACAAAATATCCTACTTTATCATCATTTCGTGAATAAATTGCAAAGACGTGACGCCCCTCGTAGTGCGTCCTAAAACAGTAGACGTAGAAAATGGCGATTATAATGATAAAAATGACAGTGCTATGAGATGTATCACTGTCTTGTTCAGCAGCACTTAGAGAATTCACAACTTCCATTTCTTAGAGTGAGAGATGTAGATACGCCAACTCAAGTGAAAATCGCTAGGCTGCTTCTAGAAATGATGACAAATTGCCAAGAATGCTGCGCTGGGAAATATCAGTTTGTTCCCTTTGTCTCCTGCAAAACAGGAAAGTACATGTTTTCCCCCTCCCTCTCTCTTCCCCTCTCCGCCCTTATCCTGCAGGCAGAAGAAAAAAGGCGCTGGCTGGGATGGTAGTATTGCATCACAGGGCCGCGTAAACCTCCAGCGTGCATAAGTTTCAATTTTTCATGAAGCCCAGTCGTTTTTCTGGTAAGTGGTCGTTCATCGAGAAATATAAGTTTTTAGACCAGATTGTATAGGTCTTATTTGTATGCTCCCTTGCGTCCCCCGAAAAGACCGGCACCAAGTGAAGCAGGATAAGATAATGCAAAGAAATAGTGAAGGGGAAAATTTTGCAAAATTTTGTTCGAAAGCTTAATGATTCTAGCTCCTTTCGCACAATAAATGCGTAAGTGTTTGAAAAATACAAAGAGCATTAGCGTAGGGATTGACTGTGCATCAAATTTTTATGGTCTGTAGCTACTATATTTTTTTGAGCGTTAAAAAAGTGATTTTCGTGAAGCAAGCTGCCAAAACAAAAGTTGACAAACTGGACGAACCTTGAATTGATGTCAGCAAGGAATCTGGAAAGGCAGTGCAAACCATTCAGCATATTACAGCTTCCGAACGGTAACAAGCAGAGGAAT